CATCGGATTTGTCCTCCCAGTCTTGTACTGCTGCCTTGAGACGATTTCGCGCTAGACGTGTTGCTCCAGCAAGGATGTACTCAGACAATGGAGTGAACTTTATTGGAACTAAAAATAAACTAAGGCAACTCCAAATGAACCTAACCAAGAAGTTCGGAAAACAATCAATGCCAAGTGCTGCAGATGAGATTGGAATAACTTGGACATTGATTCCACCAGGAGCTCCTCACTTTGGTGGACTTTGGGACTCGGGCGTGAAACTTGCGAAATCACATCTGCGAAGAGTCATGGGGAACAATGTTTTGAAGTACGTGGAACTTTCTACTCTACTATGCGACATTGAAGCAATCCTCAACTCACGACCACTCCTCCCGATTTCGACCGACGTTCTGGACCTACGAAACCTAACACCAGCTATGATGGTGACAGGGAAAGAAATGCAGTACCTGCCAATACCAGTGCCCCAACTGACGACAAGTACACTCCAGCCCTTTGAAACTCATCCAGCCAAACGTTGGGCACATTAGCAGAAACTCATTGGAATTTTCTGGAAGCGATGGAGCAAGGAGTACTTGTCTTCTCTGCAGCCACGGAAGAAGTGGACTTCAAAACAACAAAATTTTGAAGTGGGTTATGTTGCGCTTCTGATGGACGAAAACCAACCCCCCTTACAATGGCCACTAGCTCGGGTTGTGGAAGTCTACCTTGGGAGAGACAACCAATGTCGATCAGCTAAGGTCAGAACCGCAAGGGGCTGCTACGTCCGGCCTTGCATAAAATTAAGGAAACTCCCAGTCAATGTTGAATGAACTTGGCTCATTTAAGGTGGGCGGCAATGTTGCTTGCAACAAGCAACCTAGTGGAAAGAAAAATAAAATAGAAATTAATAACCGCCAAAAAACTGATTTAAACCAACAAAGATTGTTTCAAATGTTTGATTTAATCTACGCGGGATTAATCCCCTTTTTATGTAATGTAATTTTATACCGAATTATCGAAATTTGCACAACAGCTTGTAAAATTGATCCACATTAAGAAGCAGCAGTTGGGTGAGCCTTGTGACTCTGGTTTAGACAGATAGAGACCGGATCAAGGCTCATTGCACAAATTCAACGAGTAAAAAAGTTGCGAATTTTGCAATACAACGTTTTAGAGGTCTTGTATTGTAATGCTAGCATTAAATACTCGCTGCAGGCACATGCCAAAAACCTATTGCAGATATATTAACATTTACAAGACTTTTCTTCTTAAATAAAAGATGTTCAACTTCATTGTCTTGGTATACACATTGAAGCAGTTATAAGTTGTTCCCCTCCCTCTGATACACAGTCATATAATTCGTCGAATCAAAGTTAAAGTAAAATCTCAGCTACGTCAAGCTGAGTTGGTCCGCTATTGAAAAGTTCTAGGCTTCGGCGAGAAACCATATATATTTATGTTAAAATCAGTATACATATATATATATATATATATATATATATATATATATATATATATATATATATATATCACAAATGTATTGCGTATCACATAATACATACATACGCTCACAAAAACATCTTTTTAGGATTGAGAAAAGAGGCTGGTCTTTAGTTGGCGTGTTTGTCGTGCGCAATCCATTTGACATGATTGCAACAATGAGCAACGTTGAATCCACGACAGTTTTCAATCATCCAGTCACTGGTAAGCGAACTTGGCTGTCTCGCTACAATTGTTCGGATGTTGTGCCGAAAATCAAAGATTGTCACCACTTTATTCGGCATTCAATGGCTAATGGAACTATGAAAATTACCACCATGGACGCAGTAGATCAATCCATTCAAAAGGTTCGCGAACACGCGAGACTCAGGTAAGCAAGTCTTTGTTTTTTTTTTGCTTTTTTCATATGCCCGTTTTTAAAACCCTTTTTAGGAGGGGTGACTTGTGAAATCATTCGAAATATGAACAATTAATAAAATCTGAAGCGTCTTTCGAAAGTTACGAGATATCGTATCGAATGTATATTAAAATTTGGTCGAAGGTGATCAGACTTCTAGAAGTTTTTCAAACAACTACTTGTATATTGGTTTTCTGATTTCTTATTTTCTGATATATGAAAAAGTGATTTGATTTCATGAGTTTTTACAAATAATCACCTATAACGATTTTCTACCATGAAAAAGTGATTCAAAACTGATTTGAATTCGAAAATTTTTTCAAACAATCACTTGTATTGATTTACTCTTTACAAAAAAATTTTTACGTCTACGCTTTTCAAAAGCGTTATGAAAAAGGTCAAAAAAATGTCCGTTTTTGGGCATCGTTTATACGGTTTTGACCAAAAAAACTTAGTTTTTCTTGAAAACTTACGCATATAAAAGCGGCAATACTTGTAGCACGCTGGTAGAATTAAAAGATTGGTCGCTAAAATGAACGCCATGAATCTGTCATCCTTTTGTGGCAAATGAGTGAAAGTCCTGAGAATGGAAAAGGGAGCTAAAATGTTCGAAACCTTCCTGGTAATTTGTTACTTTTCTCTTTTTAATGATTAAGTTACTAATACCAGAACAAAAATTTTAAACACAAAATTGGTTGCTTCTTTTATTGAGCGCAATCGATAATTTAAGCTTGTAAAATTTTCAAGTTTTTCCAGTTTGGTTTTTTTAGTCAGTGATTACAGCTGTTTTTAAAGTTATCATGAATTTCTTATCATTTCAAGAAAATCACATTTCAATTTATATAGTATTAGAGAATTAAATAAAAAGATCTATGGTCACTAAGCCGCTTATAGCATGTTTATTAACTTTTAGCAGAGATTAGTTATCAGGTATAAACTCTCCAATCCTGCTTATCAATAATTTCAGAACCTCAAAGCGACAAAATCTCAGAGCAATCTAGAGTTTTAGTTATTTTATGTTGACCTGCGATGCTAGCTTTTTGAAAACTTTTCAGTGTTAAATTGATGAAGAAGTTTGATATTCAATATGTCAAAGTTCAACTGGAAGACCTTATTGAGTCACCACGGAAGTACGCCGAGCAAATGTGTAAAGTCCTGGAACTAAATTGCGACGAAAACTACATTCAGGTATGACATTTCTGTCCTGAACTCAGCTAAGAAAAATGTTAAATCGATGATAAACAATGAGGGACACCCAACATTTAGATCAAATAAAACAAATGGATTGAAGATACGTTTCAACAAGCTGCAAAAGAGAATTGACCAAAACATGATCGATTATATTTTTCAACACGTTAATTATAAGCGCTTATAATGGCCTACAATGGATTTTTGAAAATAGAAAGCAATCGATTGAAATTCCTAAAAATCCATTCTTCTGGTTGAAAGTCATGAAAATTGATTGCACATGCTAGGTTTTTGCCGATATAACCCATAATGTTAATCATTTCCCATGAAAACCTAGCGTAGAAAGTAAATTGTTTTCATAAACGGAATCTCGGACCATTTTTTTCTCGGCACTGATTTTTTTTTCCTGGAAACTAAACACTACCAATAGGGTTCTAATGTGATAACTCACTTGATCCCTCGCTTTCAATTTTCTGTAGGGTACCTGAAATTGGGCCGCGGAAAAAGCACCTTGCGTGTGCTCCGAATCAGTAGCGGATTTAGGGGGGGGGGCGGTACCGGACGCCCCTTTTTCCCTCAGGGATTTGACCCCCTGCCGACCCAAAGGGTCCCCCTTTGTACTATTTTAAGTTATCCATTTTTGGCTGACTGACCCTGAAGTTTTTCTAAAGGCGCCTTTGGCGCCGCCAATTTATACTAATTTAAGGGGGCAGCTCGCGCCGAAAAAAAAAGCGATTTTTTGTTCAATATTTTCCAAAAAGTGCCTAAAAACGCCATTCTTGGCCCGTTTTTTTGAAAAATTTGCCTGCGGTGCAGAAAATTTGGTCGAAATGGGATCATTATATTGATTTGCAAGAGAATCAATTTGGTCGACCTAAAAAAAAGGTCGACAAAATTTTCAATTTTTTTTTGGAAAATCCGCCCACTCGAGAAAACCCTAGATCCGCGCCTGCTCCGAATAATGGCATTTACTTTAATGAGGTTGAAAAAAGTTATTGTTCCGACTTTTGAAACGAATGTAACGGAATGTTTGTGCTCGGGTGTTTTTTTTTCAGATTTCGAGGTGGTTGTGCTCGGGGTGGTTTTTTTCCTCAAATTTCGACTTTCAAACTAGCCATTTTTGACAATTTTTTTGTATCATTTAAAAGGTATTGTTATCTTGAGCTTAAGTATAAAAAGTTATTTGATCTGAGATCACTTTTCAAAAAGTAGGGGGGGGGGGTTGAAGGTTGCCTTTTTGGCCACTTTCCGCGATATATTTCGCGCTATTAATGCGTAAGCTGAGATTTAATCCGTGTTAGAAATCGTTCTAAAGTGGTTATAGGAAGCTTGCTTGCCATAATTCTATTTCATCTGTTACTAGGAGCGAAACTTATCACTCTGCACTTTAATTGGCGCGTGGAGGGATGATTTTCACAAAAGTTCTCAAATTAAAAAAAAAATTCAATTTATTTTATTGCATTTAATTTTTTCATGTTATTACTGTTCCATAGACCCTAAAAGGCAATCGGAACATTGGAGGCTTCGCCCTCATCCGAGCACTCTTGTTTGTTTTGTTTTCATTAGGGCGTGGTGGAGGGTGTAATGGAAACTCCAAATCCGACAAGAAATGCAGTGGACTGGACAGCTGTACAAATAGAAAAAATTAATGCCATTGTCAGAGATTTCCCCGAAGTCTTTTCCATTCCCAGATTTGCGAAGTTGCAGCTTCAGAAGTGATGAGTTTACCATCAGAAGTGTTCAAAAGTAATTTGATACGGCTTTGGGTTAAAAAGTCCTTCAAAAATGCATCAACTGTTGTCAATTTCTTTTCTGTACTGAAGTTTCTGTTTAACAATGCGTTTTAAAACCAAGTCATCATCTGCATCCAAAAGTTATAAAATAATCAAATAATAATTGATTTTATAATGTAAAATTTAAAGTTGAATTAAACAATACAGTTGCTGGTAATTTCGACTTTTTGCCGAGCAGTCGAATATTCGGATTAGTAAAAAAAAGACATTCATCAGGAAATGCGGACTGATATGAACAAGAATGCTCGTGTCGAAACTAAGCACAGTGAAGGAAGTGTTTCTTACTTTTCAATGCCGCCTTCAACTTTTTAATATCGATTAAACTGACAAGGCTATAGCTATATATATATACATATATACATATACAAAAGTAAAAGTAACGGAATATTTGTACTCGGCTTTTTTTTTCTTCAGACAAATTTCGACTTTTTTTAACTAGCCATTTTTGACGGAAATCTCTTATATCATTTCAAAGGTATTACTGTTGTCTTGAGCTTAAATTTAAAAAGAAATTTCACCTGTTATCAGTTTTCGCAAAATTTTTGGGGTTTGAATCCTGCCTTTTTGGCCAATTTGGGATAGTTAACGCGCGATATACAGTGCTGATTTAAATTATTTGGACAAAACGAACCAAATTTGAAATTTCAAACCCATTTTTCTCAAATTATGTTAGGATTAAACAAAAAAAGGAGAACAAAATTTGCTTAGAATTTCACCATTTTTTTAAACTTTTTTTTCTCCAAAATTGCATTTTTTTATAGGTCATTTGGCTTTTTAATCAATCAAGAATTACGCTGAAACTACCAAGATAATTGATGAGAAAATTATATCAAAAGAAACATCGTACATAGAGGTAAAATTTTGAAATTTTTTTACAAGAGAGTATATTTTTAGTTGATAGCCAGAAAAAGACATTTGCACTATATAGAAATCAAAATCTTTGGCTAAAAACAAATTTCAAACATTTTACGCAATGTTTTAAAAGTTTAATCCTTCTAAAACTTTGTTAGGATATGTAGAAGATTTCTTTTGAATAAATTTTTCATCAATTAACTTGGTAGTTTAGCGCAATTCTTGATTGACTAAAAAAATTAAAAAATCTATTTTTGGGAAAACTTCTGGTTCAGAATTTCGGGGAAAAAATTGCACCATAATAATTCTGATGAAATGCTAAGCAACTTAGGTTCTCTTCTTTTTTTGTCTAATCTAAGCCGAATTTGAGAAAAACGATCTTTTTTTCAATGTTGTTCGTTGAGTCCGGTTAATTTAAATCAGCACTGTATTTCGCGTTATTAACTTGTAAGCGGAGATTTAATCCGTCTTACAAATCGTTCCAAATTGGTTGAAGGAAGCCTATTTGCCGTAATTGGTTGGTTACTAGAAGCAAAATATATCTCTTTGTACTTTATATGGCGTGTGGGTGGATGATTTTCACAAAAAATCTCAAATTAAAAGATGGGAACATTCAAGCATTGAATGCGGAACATTCAAGCAGTCGGAACATTCAAGCATTCACGGCTTCTCCTACATACAAGCAGTTTTGTTAAGATGTTATACACCCGTCTTTGAAGCTATTTAAGCGTGAAGAAGAGCCCCGTTCTCAAAAATTACTCAAAACTGACTCGAAATTGACAAGCTAATACTCTAGAATTTGGCAGTTAAAGAAAAACAAGGCCGTCCAAGAAACACAACAACTTAAAATTAATAGTTGTTAAGAAAAAATTTTTGCAATAAACTGTTTGTTCACCTATTTACACTAGTTTTTGATTATCTGGTATCAATGAAATTTTCATCAGTTCGAGTACTGGGGTTTGCAATGAAACTTGCGTCACAACTTTGCCTTGGTTGAGTTTTACCTATACATGAATTAGAAAGTTGATTAGTACCCATAATCTAATTGAGTTTATGTCCGGGTGGCTCACTCATAGAGTAATTTCAGATAAGGTACACCGTCTGTTCGTCACGTTATCTTACTTTCGGCAGGATAGATTCGTGCAAATTTTTAGTCTAATACCGATCCTAATCTTACTCTTATATCTCCTAGTCTCAATAGATCTAGTGGATACTGGTATTTGCAAGTTAGATATCACGAACTGTTCTAGAGAAGAGCAACAGTTTGCTAAGTTAATTTTATTGTATTCTGTTGCTGAAACTATGAGTAGTTTCAGCTTTACAAATAACTGTAAGTGTTAGTTGTGGATCAAGATTAGTTAGTTAGAAATATTTTATAGAGATAAATTTATCAATAATATAATCGGATGTAAATTCTAGATTTAAAGTGGTTCCATAATTTCTCATTAGGAAATTAGAAGGAAATATATGGCAGGTGTGGCGTTTTTCTAGGAAAATGTTGACTTTCTTTCTATCATTTTTGACGTGTATTGACTACCCGACCCTTGTATCAGCAACTGTAGACCACTATTTCAAAAAATTTTGCACCTGGTGTTTATAAAATTGATTTAATTGGCCTGTTAGTGGAATTTGTTTTTTCTGCACTTTTCATCCGAGAAAAATTTTGCACCCTGGTTTTGAATCCCCAAATTCGGCAAACTATATGAATATGAATATTGTTTTGTTGTAGGAAACAAAAATGAATAATCCTTCGGCTTTGAGATCATTTCCTAAAATATTGAAATTTTCAAAAAAAAAATGAAAACGTTTTTTTCTTAGATTTCATCATGAAATCGTACATCCAACGCTTTATTATAACAAAAAAGATCCACGGAGTGCAATCAAAAGTTAGGCAACAGTTACTTTATATACGTCAACAGCTAGAAAAATATATATATATATTCAATTGTCATTCATCGAAAACCTGATCGCGATAAGAAAATCAACTAAACTGTGCAACCGATTGCTCGACTTTGCGATTTCATGCCTATAGACTTACGCGCCTCAAACGCCCCCCCCCCCCCCACCTGCTGACCTAAAGGGTCCTCCTTTGTAATATTTTGAGATATCAACTTTTGGATGACTGACCTTCAAATTTTTCCAAAGGCGCCTTGGGCGCCAGTATATAATAGTTTTGAGGGGAGCGCTTGCCGAAAAAACGCGTTTTTTTGGTCAAAATTGTCCAAAAATTGCCCAAAAACGCATTGAAAACTTCGGCGCAGAAAATTTGGTCGAAATGAGGTCTTTATAGTGATTTGGGAGAGCTCAGAAAATCAATTTGGTCGACCTAAAAAAAAAGGTCGAGAAATTTTCAAAATTACAGCAGTGCCCCCTCGAGAAATTCCTAGATCCGCGCCTGCTTGTGTGAGTTTTGCCTGCAATTTTAAATAAAATTAATTAAGATTTTAATTGAAGTTTTGTAGCAAAATGATTTTTTCTTACATTTTGATTGGTTCAAATAGCCTTTAGAAAAACTCTTTTTCACCTCTCTCTTTATCAGAAGGGGAGATTGCTCAGTGAATTTGAGTACTTTTATATGATAAGTTATAATAAGAAGTTATGATAATATGATAAGTTATGATAAGAAATAAATATGCTATGGTAGGGATAGTTTTTTTGGAATATGTCTAATTAGCCAACTTTTGCAACAATAATCGGATTTGGTGAAAAAAGTTAAATAAAAAAGATTCGAAAACGGGAGTAGGAGTCATTTTTGACCGCGCTCTCCCTTAAAATGTTTTTTTTTGGCACCAAAAGTAACTCCATCACAATTTTTGGATTCTTCGGCATGGAAATTGGATGTTTGTAAAATATTACCAAATGGGCACTTTTTGGGCAGTGTAGGAGCCAAATTGTCGGTGAGAAGTGTCTAACCCCCGCCCGCCCCCTGTTTGCAACCTAAATCAACCCCTAATGAAAAGGCTCTAAAGCAGCCCCTTTTTGTCAACTGTGCACGGTGCAGGCATCCACTGATTATACAAGAAAATATCATTTTTTTGCGAAATGCTGAATATGAAATTGTTTATTCTATTCTGATAACAAACGCATTTTTTTAAAAAGCATTTCGTTGTTATAACAACAGCAAAGAAGACTATTGCAAAACTATTGCAAGAAAAAACTATCTCAGCTACAGAAATGTATATTCTTGAAAATTTTGGGGGCTTTCAACAGTGCGCCGAAGTACAGCAGTGCCGAAACTGATTGAGTGCTCAACAAGGCCGAAAATTTATGATTTTCGGCACAGTTGATCATAATTTTCTTTTTGAGGAATGATGTACTTCGACACTGTTGTATTGCCTCCACATAATTGTACGCCCCACTCTTGCAATTAGTTTTCTAATAACAAGCATCGGTTATAACAAATAGTTAGGTTATTTCGAAGTACATGAAGTTGAGCATGAAGGCGGCCCCCAGAATCAGCATCTTCTCCTTCTCGTTGGCATCCTCTGGGAATCGGACGAGGAAGTCCTCGTGACTCATATTGATCGGGAAGTCTTCGTGTTTGGCGTCGAATTTGGTGATCTCGCCATCTGCCGAGTCCCCGTCTTCGTTATAGATGCCGTAGGTGAAGGAGGTGCTGCACCTCATTGCAAACGTAGGACCTGGAAAAAGATTTATAAAAGAGAAACTCACTATCGTTTTCGACCCCAATATGGCAAAGGACAGAATCATTGGCCTTGACCTTACGTTGTCTAAAGACTACCTTTTTTAATATAACCAATCATAGAAGTCAACACGTACGGAAATAATATCAGGATCTAATTATATACAAACAAAAACTTCCAAGTATTGGCCATTTATCAACCATCACGATTCTTTTGATTTTGGATGAGATCAGCACAAAGATTAGATTTTTTTTACTGTGTTCAATTGTAAGAGCGGTTTTTAAAAAAAATGGGAAAAGCAGACAAATTGCAACTTTAATGTATACCAGAGCGGTGAGTTCAAAATCAGGAATTAATTGTGTTAATAATTGCTTTCGGTTTTATTTTCAAAACGCGAATCGAATTACTCTTACAAGCTCAAGGTTCAGACTGTTAACCTTAACTGTTAGCCTCAACAAAATCAGTGTTTCGATTAGATAACGCTAGCTAATCGCTAGCGGAATTTTGTACTATAACTGAAAAACTAAAATTAAATAATTTCATACTGACCTAAATTTTTGGCTAAAAGGGATTTTATTTTTTTGACGTTTTTCGAGGTCTTTTTGAAAGTTAATAAGTCAGCCAGTGTGAACTCAGGCAAGAAAGTGAAACTAACAAATTGTAACCATGGTTTATCTGAATATTTCTCACAATTTGGATATTTCCGACAATAATAACCAAAATAACTTAAGGGGTAGAAAAATTTTGACGCTTGGCAAATGCGCGATTCAAGCTTAGGAACTCACAATTCCTCAAAAATTCCAGTCTCAGATCACAACCAATTCACAGCCAATCTGGCGTCACAAATGTTTTACAGACATTTCGTCCCTCACGAAAATTTCCCTTCTTTATTCGAGTGGCGCATTTAGGCCCTCACTATCTTCGTCTTGAGTGTTTCACACAAAAAATCCCGCAATGAAGAAGGGTGAAATATGTGAGGGGGCGGCTAGGTGCCACGTTCACAGGAAGTAGCGCACCGAGAAGTGGGGGAGGGGCGACCGCCTCCCCCACCTCCCCCCAATTCTGGTTGCCAAAGTTTTCCAAATTTCTGGTAGCCAAAATTTTCCAAAATTTTCCTCCCTTTTAAATAAGTTCACGATATCAATCGTTGCTGCTCAACATCAACTTTCTAAAGGCGCCTTTGGCGCCAAAATAGTTAAATTTGAGGGGAGGGAGTGCGCAGAAACAACGCAACTTTTTGATCAATGTTTTTTTTAAAACTGCTCAAAACGTCATTTTTAGTCTGTATTTTTTTTCAAAAAATTTGCCTTCGGAAGCTCAAATTAGTCGACCTAAAAAAAGAAAAGGTTGACAAAATTTTCATTTTATTTTCTAAAAACCGTCCACTCCCCGTTTAAAAGTTTCTGAGCACACCACTGGTCACAGGTTACCTTCTTTGATCTGGTAGACGGTCTCGTCCGTCTCATCCTGGATGTCCATCTGGGCGTCCCCGATGGCGAATCTCTGTCGGATCCAGCCGACGAAGTGGTCCTCGGGAGTTTGGAGCATAATCTTGTGCCACCAGCAGGGAATCCAGCATGCGTCACACCTCCAGGGCTTCACAAACAGAGCTACTATCTTCCCGCTCTCGTTGAAGACAGACAAAAACATGCTCCTGGAACAGACGGAAAAAACATTTATGGCTGATCTCGTCGAAAATTTCATCCATACTGGGTGTCCCAAAAAAAGGATCCCAACTGGAACACCTCGACAACTACTGAGTCAATTTTCTTGAGAACATGCACACATACCTAGCAGCTCAAGACAGACGTTGTGCAGTGACCGATAACTTTTTGCTCAAAGTGGAAAAAAACTACCGCATGTTTTCACTCTACCAAAAAGATTTTACGAAGAAATTGTTTTGACTTTTATTCAGATAAAGCTTGGAAACCAAACAAGCTAAAACCAACAAACTTGTAGATGTTTTTGAGAATCTGTTGTATACTCCAGCTACAGGCCCCTCAACTTGTGCGCAATTTAGTTGCAGACATCTTCTAGCTCATTTTTGAATCCCAAAAACGACTTCCCTTAGCATTCTTCTTTCAAGTTTCATCGCCGCAAAGTCATGGCTAATTTTACTTTTCAGGTCATCCAAAGTCGCCACACGCGCTTAAAAGACTAGATTTCATGGTGCCCCGCAGAAAAAATCACATGGTGTCAAATCAGGGCTGCGAGGAGGGTACTAATCGGGGAAGCCAAAGTGCTACAACCCAAAAATTAAAAATAAGCTGAAGCGTTGCTCTCACAGTATTTCTCGGTGTGCTGGGGCATTATCCTTATCAATAATGTTGAAAAGTGCAGATGTTTATGTTAAGAAAAGAATAGTTGTTAACTTGAATTGCAGCAACTGTTAGGCATTAAATCGAAATCTTACTGCACTGTTTTATTTCAGATCAGATCGGACGTTGAAGATCGCAAGGTCACGACAGCAGGTCTCCAGACAGAAAGAAAACAATTGATAGCACTTACATAAACTTAAACTGGTCCCTATCTCATTCGGGCAACCACAAATAAATTTTAACTTGTATAAAATTTATCAACTCGCATTGTCTATTGTTTTAGTTTCATGTTACAAACAGTTTCAGTTTAACTTGAGTTTTCAGGCAGACTTGCCAAACCTCTCTTTCAGGTTTTCTTCGCTATGTCATGTTACTTGTCTTGTATGCGATGAATCATGACACCCCCATTTTGTCAACGCCTCGTCGCTGTCGCGTTGATTTTCTTGTCCCCGCCGCGCCTTGCTTTCGATTTTCACCGATGGTTTTCGGCGTTCGCTCCTTATCCGTTTCCGACGGTTCAATTGCTCCCCCGCTCGCCGCAGTCTTTGCCGCCTCGTCCGCTTCCACTGTCCAATCGCTGACTTCATCCTCCTCGCTCTCGTCCTCGCTATATTCCACTATTCGCTGTTTCACTGATTTTTTCGCCTTCCTCATCGCTATTTGTTCCTTATCAGCCTTTCTTTTAAATTTCGTGGTTTCAATAGGACCCGGGGTGCTCTTTGCGGGCTCACTTGGACCCGGGGTGCTCTTTGCGGGCTCACTTGGACCCGGGGTGCTCTTTAGGTACTTGCTAGGACCCGGGGCGCACGCGTCGTTCATATCTGTAATTTGGCTTTACTCAGCCGCCGATCTAAAAGAAACACCACTTCGCCTTAATAACGACCCTTTTTCCATTTGCACCGTATGATCAGTTAATTTTTCAATTTTCAATGGTAAACGTTTATACCTTCTTGGATCCTTCGGGTCTGTTTTCCCTGTCTTTTGATAGACTGTTGTGGTGCTAGTTTTTTTCCGTTTTAGCCATCCTGGTGGCTTTGGTACTCTATCTGCTACCTCCGTGACCTTTGGGTCCGTTTCATTTATCTCCTCATCGTCCATAATCCTTGGGGTTTTTCTCTGCTCTGGTGCGTATACTAGGTCGCTGCTCTTCTCCCAATCTAGGGTCAGCTCCACCTCCGGGAGATTACTCGCCTTGTCTAAACAAGATAGCTTCTGGTTAACAACATTGTCCCAATTTAGGTTTTCCAAGGATGGTTTTTTCGTTAAGTTTCGAAGCGCCGTATTTGCTTCTCTTCCATGATATGCCTCAAAGGGCGTTAGCTTAGTTTTGGAATGTGGCACAAAACGTAATGCGCTAAGCGCACGGGATATCATTACCCCAAACTTGTAATTTTTATTTTCCTGGAGATAAGTAAGCACGTAATTTTTTATCGACCCAATTGTTCGTTCGACCATTCCCGTTGCGCGATGATCCTCAACTGGAGATTTGATTAGTTCAATACCTTCATAGTTACAGAAACTTTGAATGTCATTCGAGAAAAACCCCGTTGCCTGATCCATATGCAATTTCCTTGGGTGTCCATGAGTATTTATGTACTTCCTTAGGAACTTCAATACATTTTTAGATTTGTTACTTGAGCATATATACGCCGATGGCAAATGCGAAAAAGTATTTACTGCTACGAGTGCGTATTTCTTCCAACCCCTTACATAATTGACCGGGCCCCAGAAATGTAACTGGACCAAATTGTTTGGTTCCTTAGGCACATACGTTTCCCCTATATCAGTTTTCGGAATATCTGGTTTAAGGTTTTTACCTGCTTCTAAGCAGCTTTTACAGTACTTTGCTGTTGCGGCAATGTTTCGGTGCATTAAGGGTATCCACACATCCTTTGCGGCTGCGAACATCTTGTCTCGTCCATGGTGTTGAAAGTGTCAGCGGTTGAGCACTGCTGAAGACATGTCCTTCGGTATGGCCAACCGGCCATCCATCCACAGGCAATTTTCTCGTACTGCGAAATCATTATAGTGTTGGGCGTAATATCGTCCTAGTCCTGTGATGATTTCTTTGGCTCTTGGGTTCCTGTCTTTGATTGCATCGCGATTTGTCTTCATGATTGGGTCCTTCTCCAGATTTGCCTCGACTAACTTTAAGCTCAGAATCTCCGGGTGATCTAATTTCCTGACAACTTTACTATCTGACGGCACTATAGAGTAAATCCATCTATCGCTCTGCACTAGTGGGTAGGATAATCCGGGAAACTGATGAGGGAATGAAATTATAGTTGTTGATTTTTTCGAATTTGTTTGTTTCTGGGCAATGATTTCAGGCGGTATTAATTCAATATCGGAGTCCGAACTGACGGAACTAACACTGGGTGGTTGGTTCAACCGATTAAGTACATTATTAAGGTTAACATCCCCAGAGAGTGGGTTGATTTATTGACAATGGCGGAAGTTAGTTGATCATGTTTTTCAGGGGAATTTATTGTGTTTTTATTACTCATGTTACTCATAATTTGGATATCGCGACTTGAATTTACGTATTGAGAACAACGTCTGAATTTCTTTCTTCGACGTTTGCATATTTCCGCCGGTATGCAAAGCTCTTGATTTTGATTGATTAACCGCCGGTTGCATGCAAACACGCCCTCTAGTGAGCGTTTACTCTCACAATGAGTATTTGCATATTCAGTTGTTCCTATATTCCCATTGGATGCGACGGTTTTCGTTATAGCAGAACATGACTGCTCGCCCTCTATCGCCGGTATTGATTTTATGTGTTTCACATTTTGACCCCTAGGCTTCATTTTAGCCTTAGGATTTACTGCTTCGTTTATCATTTTTATTTTTGCTACCTTAAAACTTTCATCGTAACGACTTGTCTCGGGTGCCTCTGCGGATGGAAACCGGGACAAATAGTCTGCCATTCCCATTTTGGACCCCTGTCTGTGTTCAACTTTAAAATCGTACGGCACTAGACGATCGTACCAACGCGTTAGTCGGCTGAAAAACGTTTTATTTCCTTTCGGAGATGAATTTAACAACGTAAGCAGCACCTTGTGATCCAAAATAACTGTGAAATAACGGCCATATATGTAATTTCGAAAATGTTCCGTAGCCTACACTACTGCGAGTAATTCTAATTCACTTGTAGAGTTTTTTTTCTCCGCCGGGTTAAGGTATCTAGACGCAAACGAAATCGGATGCCAACCGGAGGCGCTATACTGTTCTAAGACGGCCCCTAGGCCATCATGACTAGCATCACAGATAATTCTTGTTTCACGGTGAATATCAAAATGTCTTAGTTCAACAATGTTTTTGACAAGCGACTTTAATTGTTGGAACGCATCTTCGCAAGTAGACATCCAAACAAAATCGTTATTCTGACTTAGTAATGGTCTTAGCGGTGCGCTTACTTCCGCGTGATTAGGCAAAAATTTATGCAAAATGTGCATTGAACCCATTAGCGACTTTAATTGCTTTCTGGATTTTTGGGTTTTCAGATCCTCCACCGCTTGTGTTTTTCTGACGAGGGGCGCGATGCCACTTTCCCCAATTCTATACCCGAGTCATTCGCACTCCGTTTTCGCAAATTCACATTTTCGTAATTTTAACGCGACATAAGAAACGTCCAGCTTTTTTAATATTTTTTCCATTAACGCAATGTGCTCAATCTTAGTTCCTTTTGAAGCGATTAAAATATCATCGATGAACGCGTTAGCCTGAGGGAATTCCTTAAGTAAGTTGTCAATAACTTTTTGAAATTCCGCCGGCATCGACGTAAGACCGTAAAATCCGTTCTTAAAACGATAAGTTCCCGTGGACTTCCCGCCGATCAATGAAAAATTACACTGCTCGCTTGTCTCCTTTTCGAGAGAGACCTGTCCGTACGCATAAGTGAAATCCAACGTAGTAAAGTATACGTTCCCCGCCTTCCTTTCAGCAATTATCTGACTTGTTCCGTCTACTAGTTCGTCAAGGTTCGGCATTTGGTACTTATTCTTGTGTACCTGTTTGTTCAGTTCTCTTGATTCCAATGCTAGTTTGATACTTCCGTCTTTTTTTACCGTGATTACTTTAGGAGAGACGAAATACTTATCCGAACACTCCTGTAATTTTACGATGTGACCTTCGTTCATCAGCCTATTAATTTCCTTATCTACTTTATCTTATAGACTGATAGGCGCCCGGCGCCCTTTTTGTTGTATAGGTTTTAAATTTTCGAAGACATCGGCTCTTACTTTAGCGTTTCGGACTTTCCCTATTCTAGTAAATAAGTTTGGGTACAACTTACAGAAATAGGTTTGCAAATCATCGTATTACTCCTCGTCTC